GAGAGAGAGAGAGAGAGAGAGTGAAAGAGAGAGAGATGCGTTCTATTCCAATAGTACACACGTGCGTACTATTCGAACGTGAGAGAGAGAGAGAAAGAGAGAGAGATGCGTACTATTCCAATAGTACACACGTGCGTACTATTTGAATGTGAGTACTACTCGGATTTTCAGGAGCTACTTCGAAAAATCGAGTTTCCAGGGAAAGTTGAATAGTACATACGTGCGTTTTGTTCGGGGGAAGACTGTAGTGGAGCCGCCAGTGTGACCAAGTCAACAGTCAGCAGTTAGTGTGTGTGTGTGTATGTGTGCGTAGGACATTCAAGGTAGACCTGGTGTGTGTATACGTGCGTGAGAGAGTGTTGGGCGGTGGTCACACTGTTCCTGGGGAATTCCAGACTGACGCATAGGCGCCATAGCCGTGCCATGTACTAAGTCCCTGGACGAAGCTATATCTTTGAGTTTTGCGGGGGCGCACTGCGCCATCTCAAGTGTGTTGCTGATTCTGCTTTGTGCAGGTTTCTGTAGCCATCGCCAGTTGCATGTATGCATGCCCGAAGATAAGAAGAGAACAAGTCCGATTCCACTGGTGTCGGAGAAAGTTCCCATTGTCTGCGCAAGCATCGGGAAAGTCAGAGGAGGCGAAGCAGCCGCCGCCTGACGTGAAGAAGACAGTGACTATAGTGAGAGAGGGATGCGCATGAGCAAGGAAGACCACCATAGCGGAAGGCAGCCATAGCTGCCAGCTTGGAGAAGAAGAAGAAGGATGGGAGAGAAGGAAAAGTCAGGAAGAAGAAGGTGGTAGCAGCCATAGCCTACAGAGTGGACGAAGAAGCCGGCCATAGCCGAGCTTGAGGACGAAGAAGAAGAGGGCGAAGTTGCTGAATGTGGTGAGGGGAAAGGAATCCGCCATAGCCAAGTCGTCAGAGGGTTGACCGGAGCATTAACTGGCGGTGGCCAGAGTGTTGACCAGCATTGACCGAAGTGTTGACCGGCATTGACTGTCGTTGACCAGGGTTGAGTGGCACAATTGACCAAGCTGGAGTGTGGAGTGAGGATCAATATAATCCCTTCAAGCCCTGACTCTTCTGGCTGATCAGGAGGCATTTAAGGTGATCCCCCATAACTCCTCAGGAATTATTCAACATGGCAGTCAGGACGACGATCACAGCCGGAGTTCTCTCTAAACTTGGACAGATTGGACGCACGATCTGCAGCTTGAAGTTAAGGTATAGTGTACCACCCAGAGCAGCCTGCCGGTCTATACCGGTCCTTGGGGGCTTTTGCCCAGGTCGTCTGGTGTCAAATACACCTCACCCCTACGAAGTCCTGTGCAGATATCAGCTCCTCAGCCTCTATAAGACCACATGCATGGAACCTATGCAACCTAACAAGAGTAGCTCAATGCAGAAAGAGATGACAGATTTGCAAGACTGCAGCAAGTACGAGGTGATTGTGCAACATCCACATAGTAGTGACGGACTAGTAAGTAAACTAGTAGCGAGTAGTTGACAGAGGACCAATTGGAAGCCAAAGCCAGGCAAGATTGGACGATCGCTGCACGAGCACCCGACGATTGTGGAGAGATTGGACTGTGGTTGTGAAAGCATCCGACGACGGTGGTAGCCTCACTAAGGTGGAAGAGAGGACCTTTGTAGTCCCCTAGAGAGTCAGTGTCTAGGTGGTAAGTCTAAGTGTTGGGGAGCGGAATAGGTTGCGATTGTGTCCATGTCCAACATGGACGACTACCCT